TGTTATTTTTTTTCTTTTCTATTTCGTTTTTGCACAGTGTCGTTTCTTTTTGTTTTCTTTATTTTTTTTTTTTGTGTGTGTATTATGATCAAGATTTGAATACGAATAATATTGCAAATAGTATTGTTATTAATTATGTTGAATGTTTTGCTGTTTAGCCACCCGTCACCGATTAAGTTATTCACCGGCGGAATGCCACGTGCTTCCTATGGTGATCGCTACACGTTAACAGCAATGAGAGAAGGTAAAATGGTGGTATTCGATTTTGGCAGCGCAGTTGTTGACTTCGTTGTTCTGCCCTCACTACAAAGCCACAAATGTAATGTATAATGTATCTTATCCCTATTTTCTTGATATTTAAGGTTCCAAACTTTCAAATTCACTAAGCAAGCAAAATGTGTTGTAAGTCTGTTATTCTCGCTATTGCTTGTGTTGCTTGGCGAATTTTTGCCAATAACATTCATTTCCTGGTGCACAAACAGTTGTTATTTTCTTAGTTAAGTGGCTTAAGTTATTCAGGTTTCGTGCATGACCATCTGCAGAATTTTATAGTCCCTGGAGGGAATTGTTCTGTGATTCCGTTGACGTCCCAAATCATGATATGAAAAAAAGTTGATTTATGGACGGTTTTCTCACTTTCTTATGATTAACCTCTGGTTATAAAAATATTACTAGTTAAATGATGGTAATAAAAGGTTGCAGCAATAAAATAAAAAGTGATGCAGTTAAAGTGATGCCATTTCACTTGCAGATGCGGATTACAAAAATTGCTTGGCACTGATGGTACTTTGTGAACAGGAACTCGTATGTATCGATTTGACCGATGGAAGCTGGCCGTTACTTAATTTACCTTACTTGCATCCGATTCATTCATCTCAGATTACATGTGTTATACACTATTCAAATATTGAAGAGCATGTATGGAAGGTAAAGTATATCAGTTTTTCTTTTCCTGTGTATTTTATATATTGTTTATTTTAGAAAGGTTTATTTATAATAATCACCAGAAACACTTCATAACTTCATAGAAACACTTCACTTCGGTCATTCCTTCAAGCTTTTATTATAGGGGCTGATTAAGGCGAGCGAAGCACAAAATAAATTGGCATCTAAGTATAAGTGGCCTGTTCATGGTGGTGGTGATGCTCAGATACCTGCTCCCTGCGCTGCCACGAACGCAGAAAAACGGCAGCTTTTAATTACAGGGTTGTCATTCAGGTTTTGAAAATTTCCAGCGGGAGATTTGACAAATGTTGATTAGAATGTTATGACTTTTTTCTTTTTTTTTTTTTTTGAAGGCACGAAGACGGTACTGTGAAATTCTGGTCAACTGGTTCTGTCAGTTTGCGTTATTTGTTAAAAATTAATACAGCAAAAGAATTTGAGGGGTGCTTTTCAGTAGATACCGACACTGATGGAATAGAATATGAATTTGAAAGTTAGTTGTTTTCTATATTTGTATTCAGTAAGTCTAGAGGTTGTCAGTATAAACATAATTGCAACAATTATTCTTGAAATTTAGATGTATTTTACTCGCTGCGGATTATAATTCATTCGAGAAGTCGTTTTTTTTCTCTCTCTCTTAATGTTACTTTGTTAGAGTTAGTTTTCAAAAACTAAACGGGAATAAAGAGTGCAAAATTTTCAGGTAATTCAGTTGAACTTTCCAATAACGGAGCGTCTGATGACGACTCCAATGAAATTACTGATTGGCCTCCTTTTCGCAAGGTTTTTTTTCCTTTTTTTTGTCACAGTAGAGAGCACCTAACATGAGATGGTTACTCAGTGCAGCCGCAGTTAATTTTAAGGTTGGAACATACGATCCATTTTGTGATGATCCACGTTTAGCCATACAGAAAGTGTATTTCGATGTGACCAGTGGACAGTTGGTAATAGGTGGTCGTGCTGGTCATGTTATCGTATATGATTTGGATGACGAATCATCGGTAAGATTTATAAACAAATTTTAGTCATATTTTAACGGTTGGTATATCAGTTCGTTCCCTGTGTAAATATATAAGCAATATTCAGGCGGCATTAACCGTAATGCGAACAGAATATGAGGTTGCAGAAAAATCGAAGTTACCAGCGAACATCAACCAGCAAGCTTTGCCTCCTCGGCAAGCTTCACTGGCATATGCAGTTGGATATCAGCCCTTCAAAACGGATCAGAACCGAAGGTCTGTTGTTAAAATTGGTTTGAATATGCTGTTTGGTGAATCACTTGCAATATACTAGAGAGATAGAATTTGGGGCGCAACGTAAGGTTTGTTGATAATATTAAATAAATAGGAAATCATTTGTTAGTAGTATTAAATAAATAAAAAACCACCCGTAAATTCAATGGATGACAGCTGGGACCAACACATAATGTGACTAGCTCTGAAAACGACCAACTTTTATCTGATTAATATGCAAATTGAAGCAGTAATTGTATTAGACTTCAACTGTACTTACGTGTTTTTAGCTATCTTATTCAGTTGCATCCGCCAGTTGCGATAACAGCAGTAGCGTCTCTTCGGTCACGCAATCTTTTAGCATTTGGATGCGAGTACGGCTTTATGATGTGTGATTTGAAAAGTCAGGCAACGCTTATATCTAGATGTCTGATTATTTCAAAAGGTCTCTTTGTCCACCAGTAAATTTATTTAAATGATTTTCTGTGAGCCTTGAGGACCGCAGCCCTTGTTTTTCTCAGCTAATATTTCTTCGGTTTGGACTTTTCAGATAAGAATATATAGGAAGCAAGAATGTCCTTATCATTTAACTTCATTTTTGCAACAAAGGATTGTGAATGTAGAATCACTTTGGAATTGGCAGCTTTACAAAAATTGATTGTTGACTTTCTTATTATCTTAATGCTCATTCGTTTGTTTTGGTGTAGATGCTCACGAAACCGATGTGTTAAGCGTTAAATCAAAGGTGGCAATGAGTTATTTATCAGGGGGTGGAATGTATTACATACTGCATCTGACCGAAATACCAAAAATCATATTTATACGATAAATATTACATTCATTGCAGAACTAGCAGACACAAGTACATTATCAAGGTTTAAAAGCATGAAGAAATCGATACGTCAGTCTTTTCGTCGTAAGAAAAAAGTTCCACAAGTATTTCCTTAAAATGCTTTGCAAAACTTAAGCTGAAGCGTTATAATAACTTCAAATATTTTGGGTTTTTCTATGCCCTATTTTATTCAGACAAATTTTATAAATTTCATATGAAATAATTATCACGATGTCACTAGTTTAGGGTAGAACTCATTCCACTGAAGCATGTCCAGCAATTAATGATGACCTCGATGAACTGAGACCTGTTGAGCGCCAGATTATTTCTCGAACTGAGACACCTCTCAACGGTCGTTTCTACATTTTCTATTATTTGAAAAACTGATGCAATATTTATATAGTGGTAATGGCTAGTCAGCAATCAGTATATATTACATTTTAGTTGGTGATCCTCCTATTTCTACGGTCCGAGTACTTAGATTCTTCCATACAAACATTCTTTCTACTGCTTCCCGTACCGATAGTCTTTGGATTGGAACAAATGGTGGTATGTCTACTCATAATTTTTTTAGCAAGCTGTTTTATGTTTTTCTACAAAATTTCCATAGATACTTGTGATGGCAGGAATAATAGATAACTTTTGTTATCATTTTCATGAAAATATAAAATTATATATATATATATATATATATATATATATATATATATATATATATATATATATATATATATATATATATATATATATA